GGCTCACCCCCGGCACGGGGAGGCTCCTCCGTGCAAGTGAAATAACAATTCCCTCGGCGCTTGGCGGTGAAGCGCCAGCTGCGCCCCGAGCTACACCCCCGGGAAAAAATACACCAAGGCCGCTCGCCAAGAAGGGGACGAAGTGAGAATAAAATTAAAAGGATGCATGCGGATCCCAGAGAACATTTTGGGTTGGAAGGGACCTTAAAACACCACCCAGTCCAACCCGCCTGCAGTGAGCAAGGACATCTGCAACCAGCCCCGTCCGACCCTGGATGGTCCCAGGGATGGGGCTTCACCACCTCTCCGGGCAGCCTGTGCCTCACCCTACCAACTGCTGCCAGGGGGCACTCCTACCTCCTCATTTTTAAGAATATTTTATTAAGAATTTGCACTTTAAATCACTTGGCACTGTTCGCTAGATTGCTGCAGAATCCCTGACCACAACGTCGATGTTGTTCGATGTTGTTCGTGCAGCCCAAATGGCACACAGCACTTGCCCCACAGGCGACAGGGTGTAGTGTTTAAAGAGGTGCCAGGCTGCAAAATTCAGGATGAGATTTTTCAAACATGCGTTGTTTTCAGAGCGAACAAGCTGTGCTTGCACAAACAGGACAGGGTTAGCCATTCTACCTGAAGAAGCCCATTTGCCAGCAACTGCTGACCTGCAGAGCACAAGGCAATCACTTTGCAATGAGCTCACCTGCTCCTTTTCTCTGCTACAAACAAGCCAGTGAAATCTTTCAAGTTGACACACAAGGATTATTCTGAAAGCAACTGGCCTTCACTTTGCTCTAAAGCCAGCTTCGTACAAAACGTCTGGTGCAAAAGCCTGCACTGAAGCCAGCACTCAATCGAATACCTGCACTTAGCCTGGGTACCTCCTGCAGGCCTTACCGTCAACAAGCATTTTAACACCATCCTGAACTGAAAATCTTCACCCAAGTACCACTAAAGTACATATGATTAATGCTGCAAGAAAAAGATTTTGTTATCCCTCTCAAATTACTAGTGATGATATTTTCACATTAAGATTCTCGGCGCAAGATTCACAGAGAGCGTACTGCTTCTGATTCATGTGTAGCAATACGTTGGTTTTTTTCTTACTGCCTCCTAAGTATACTATAAAACTAATGAAAGCGAAAAGCCAGGTATTTTTAAGACATTGTACACCTTTTGTCTTGCTTGGACAGAAAGAAAAATACCTGAACACTTTAGAAACAGAAAAAAGGGTGTACATAAAAATGATGTACAGCAACTTTCCACTTCTGGCAACAGGCTGGTCAAAAAGATGAAGAAATACACGTCATTTGCTACAGCTGAGAGAAACAAGGAGAACTACTGAGTCAACTGTTTAAATGTTTACTGGTATTTCTTAGCTCGTTATCATACAGCCCGTCTTTGAGAGAGCTCAAACCACAGCTCTATTTCAGGAGATGCCATACCTCATGAAAAAACTCCCCCAAAAGCTCCCATTCCTTAGGTGTGTTTCGAAAATGTGATATTGCTGCAATTCTCTTTTTGAGGGGAGGCATAGGTATCTGTCAACATAATCTATAACATCAGCTGCATCCTTTCATCTTTAAAATGTGCCAAAAACTCGTGAATAAAAACCATCCACAAAAAGTTTCTGAATGCATAAATTCCTTTATTGAAAATATTGTGATAGCACTGCATTACATATATTCAATATTCATAGTTTCAAGGGTCACAGAATTTTGATTAAACAACACTGTTTTGAATATAGACCACAGCGTTTAGATATGCTCTGACAAGGATAATATAATGGAGGCGTAAGTTGTAGGTAGCAGTAGTGAAATGTATGTAAAACGTTTAATTTGATTGGTTTGGGTTTTCTTTTTGTTGGTTTGGGTTTTTTTTACTACTAAGTGGTCTGCCACCATTTAAAAGAGTAAACGCTATTAGATATTCTTGGTATCTTCAATGCATTACGCTGTTAGCAGCTTCCATAATATTTTACAGCGTTACCAGTAAGAACTTTATTTACGGCTGTAGCAGACCACGTAGAAGGGTAGCGTGAAAAGCTCACGTGCAGCGTGTTACAGGCTTACTGTATATAGTGTTGGGTTTTGTACTGTGAAATTTCTGTGCAGGATTAAGATTTAGTAATGCTTTTGAAAGAAAACCACTTGGCTTTTTAATTTTTTTTTTCATCTGTTGAAAAAGGAAAAAGCAGTAACTAAACTGAGTTGTATTACTCAGTTAATGATATTCCAAAACTAGACTGTACTGTTTCAGTGCAGGGAAGCACACTACTGCTTCTAAAACCTGCCTTTCTCAAGACAATGACACGTTTGAATCTAAGGGCAGGACAGCATCCTAATGTTGGTCGGGTCTGGACTGTGTAAACAAAACCAGTGCTCGGTGGGAAAGCAGAATTCTTTAACAAACAGTGAAGATCACCAGTCCTCTGTCACACTCTCCCCACTTCCATTTTGTAACATGGAGCCTTTTTCGGTCTACACTGGGGTGGGGGCGGGGAGGAATCTGATTATTTAATGAAAAACAAAGAGGAATACTTAGCTGCCTGTCAAATCTTAAACCAGCCTGTTGCTTCAAGTCTTCTTTGGGAAGGAAATCATATATGTAATTACTAACATTAACATGACCTGGCCTGTTTGGGAAATAGCATTCTTCTTTAAGTCTCAATTTTACTTTCTCCTTAACAAAGCTGTTATTCTTCAATTTGTAGAGCAGTGCTCATAAAAGCACGGTGGGTGGCTTATTTTGAATCATTTGGTGGTGATAGAGAAAAACAATCCTTTCTTAGAAATGTCCTTCATAAACAGTCAACAATTCCAAGGCAGATGCTCAGAGCACGCTGTCCCAATTCTGTTGGCTGCAATAGAGCTGATACAGTCTCTACCATGTGGCAGTTTGCCCAGTGTCTCCACACACTGCCAAAATAATAATCTACTAACAGGAATGTGGCAGCAGAGTTATTAAGAAGAACTATCCACCTTCTCCCCTCATCTCAGGAAAAAAAAAAAAAACCAAAACAGAATTATGCACTCAAATGTTTCTGCCATAAAACAAACCCTCTAATTAGGGTAAAATGAAAACCAAATCTCATTTACAAAATAAAAATATAAAAATTACCTTCAGAAATCAAATAAATCAATTCAGAATAAATGCAAATGCAAGAAACCTACCTGAACAGTAATTACTTATCAAATTGAAATTGGAAACATTAAAAGAAAAAAATTCATAGCTAATACATTTACAAAAAAAAAAAAGCTGCTGTACAATAACAATAAATAAAAAGATTTTAAAAACATGTTCCCTTAAGTGCTGTGTACACCTGTTTGTGATTCTTTTCCATGGCAAACAGTATGCTGTAGATTTTGGTACAGTAACCTTTTATTTTTGGTTAGCATTTTCACGTTGAACATAAACACACATGGAATGTACTAGATAAGTTACATTTTTCCCACAGGATCTTTTTCACAGTTACAGAAAAAGTTTTCAACTTGTACACCATGAATGTTTTCATAAGCATCATATCTTCGATGGAGGAGTGTTGGAAGAGGAAGTAAAAAGCACTTCAGATGGATCTTTTACTGTCCTGTCTCTTACTGCCTCTCAAAACCAGCTCTGTTTTATTTTCTGAGGCCGGTTCTTTAGCAGGTTTTTTTTTTGCGTAGTCATGCTCTGGTACAAACTTGAGGAAAAAGCGTGTAACGTTGTGAGGCAGCCTGCACCTTCTAGTTAGCTTTTAAGTGCCTACCGGATCCGGTCCTTAAGGCAGTCAGTATTTCATTCAAATGTCCATACTTCTACATCTTGTATAATGAAATCTTCTTGCTTAGATAAGATGTCATTATTGAAGGTGCTGCAGGAGTTGCTTCGCCCGTGATATAAATCTGCATCTAACCACAAGCCAAACCGGCCACTGAAATGGAAAGACACAACAAATTTCAGGTTATAGGTAATGGTGAAAACACTGGAGAAGCTGTAGCAACAACCAGAGGAATCGCGGTAATTCTGAGGACTTCCTAGACTGAACGTGAAGAGCTCAATTCCAGCCAAACACTTGCTGAGAAGCTCACAGAGCAGTGGCAGGGCGCAGGACCAGGCATTCGCCTGTGGCCCCTCGCACCACGGCGGCTGTTGGCACTGCCAGCCCTGGCCCACACCGGGGTGCGGACATCGAGGTCCCCTCCCGAGCTGTTTAGATGTGGACACGGCCTCTCTTGCTTTAGGAGGAGGGAGAGGTGGGGTGTTTATACACTGCTGAGGCAAGGCATGCCAGGTGTCCTGCGGTGCAGCCTGCAGGCAGCTTTAGTTAGTCACACAGCCTTAGCTCTTGGCTTCGTACCCATTGACCTCTGAAACTCAGGACCTTCATTAAACACTGTCTGTGTCTTTGTTCTGTGTATCAACAGAATAATGACAATTAAATAAGGACCACACAACGAACTTTAGAAGCTGATGGCAGAACTGCCATTAGAGATTTATCTTCCAGTGGCAAACCTCTTCAGCAATAAGACATAGTATCATAGAACATTAGAGGTTGGAAGGGACCTCTAGAGATCATCTAGTTCAACCCCCCTGCCAGAGCAGCGTCCCCTAGGGCAGCCACACAGGAATGTGTCCAGGAGGGTTTTGAAAGTCTCCAGAGAAGGAGACTCCACAATCTCTCTGGGCAGCCTCTGCCAGTGCTCTGTCACCCTCACAGTAAAGAAATTTTTCCTCATGTTGAGGTGGAACTTCCTGTGTTCTAACTTAAACCCATTATTCCTTTTTCTATTGCTGGGCACCACTGAGAAGAGATTGTCTCCTTCCGCTTGACACTCACCCCTCAGATATTTATATACGTTACTAAGATCCCCTCTCAGCTGTCTCCTTTCAAGGCTAAACAGCCTCAGTTCTCTCAGTCTTTCTTCATAGGAGAGATGATCAAGTCCCTTGATCATCCTCGTAGCTCACCATTGGACTCTCTCCAGTAGGTCCCTGTCTCTCTTGAACGGGGGAGCCCAAAACTGGACACAGTATTCCACGTGTGGTCTCACCAGGGCAGAGGAGAGGGGGAGGAGAACTTCCCTAGCCCTGCTGGACACACTTTTCTTAATGCACCCCAGGATCCCAGTGGCCCTCTTGGCACACTGCTGTCCCATGGACAACTTACTGTCCACTAGGACTCCAAGGTCTTTCTCCATGGGGCTGCTTTCCAGCAGGACGTCCCCTAATCTGTACTGGTGCCTGGTGTTTTTCCTCCCCAGGTGCAGGACCCTGCACTTGTCCGTATTGAACTTCACAAGGTTCCCCTTCGCCCAGCTCTCCAGCCTGTCCAGGTCTCGTTGGATGGCAGCACAGCCTTCCTGTGTGTCAGCCACCCCTCCCAGTATTGTATCATCAGCGAACTTGCATCTAGCCAGAACACAGTTTTTTTTCCTAGTGAAATAAAAGCCCAAAACTAACAAACCCTACCTGTCTAACATCAGTCACCCCCTTTAACATAATGGAAATTGGCCTGGGTTTGTAACAGAAATCAGATTGCTGAGGTATCTGCCCTAAACAGTTGACTAAACTGGTCAGTAAAATGGCTGAACTTCCTTTTTCTTGCAAATGCCATTGTTCCTATTCTCATTAAAGAAACAAAACAAAAGTTAGCTATGTGATTTGAAAACCAAACATTCGCTCACCCTCCACCTCCGAGCTCCAAAGAGCTGGTATCTCCATTGATGAAGTAGGTGTTCTCACCACTCCATTTGAATACCTGAGGAGGAGAAAAAGATATATTTGGACTTTGAGAACTCTAAAACTACTGGGGACTCTTAACAGATATTTTTTGTTGTGGTCGTATTTTATTTTATTTTTTTTCTTGAATGGAGAAGAGGAAGAGATAATAGGTAGAAAGTAAAGGAACAATGCATATTTACAACAACGAACAAAGGCACCCTAATTCTCTTCAAAATTATGCTAACGTCTCTAAATCAACAGACATTCTGTTATAAAGGAACAATACATTCAATACTGAAAAATGCATAAGCCATGAAGGATATTTCAGCAGCTCTCTTATCTCTGGTTTGTTGTCACTGTGAACCTAAGGACGTGTGAAATTATACCCTATTCTTGATACCACTGCCTTCCAAGGTGAGTTGCTGACAGTCCACTCGTTACTCCTCCACTCCTCCCTGTTCCCTCCTTCAATCCACTTAAAACCCTCTCTTCACCTTTATAGGCTGTCCTCTCAGCATTTCAAACAACTACAGCCACTTCTGTTTAAAGCAACGAGTGATTAACTGCATTCACCAACACATCTTGTAAACTCAAATATGCTGTCCTCAGAAAATCTTACTTGAGAAAGTGAACATCCACTTACCTTGAAATTTGGACTGAATGTATAGAGGAATGTTTCACCAGTGCCATAGTAATGGTCACTAAACCTGAAGGGATGTGTAGCATACGCTCCAAATATCTGTCAGGAGAAAATGATTAAACTACTTTTGAGGACAGTACAAAATACAAGAGAAAAAACACCCAGATGTTTCAAAAGAAAAGGTTAGAGCGTGGTGCTGATAACACCAAGGTCGCGAGTTCGATCCCTGTTCAGTCCCTATGTGTTGCCTCATCTAGTTGAGAGGCGTCCCTGCCCATGACAGGGAGGTTGGGTTGAATGATCTATCAGCTCCCTTCCAGCCTAGGCCATTCTATGATTCTACAGAACAACGGAGCTGGCCAGCTAGTAAAATACATCAGATGAGCAAGTAGTCCTGCAAATCTTTTGTATCCTGTAAGTTAAAAGCCAAATGACAACAATGGCAACAGGAATGTCAACTCTAGGAGCTACTGGTGAAGTCCCAGGCCTCCACAGAGGCATTATTTGTAACAGCTTGTTAACTGAGATACATAAGGAAGATACTTCCAAGGTCACTATTAAAAGTAACACTCATTGCAACTATGAAGATGGGGGCAGTATTTCTATTAGTGCTGATACGCTTTCCTGCCTGCAAGTTTAGTTAAAACAGTAGAAAATACAAAAGAAAACACCAATGTCTTATCTGACTTACATGACTTAGCGCTTCACAATGATCACTTTTTATAATCCTGCCCTTTCAGTCTAACCCCCCCAGAATATGCACTCCTCACCTGGTTGTCCATATCTTTGATGACAAGGAGAACTGGGCTGTCGAGAGATGCCGATTTACGGTACAGCGTCTTCAGGCTCGTCCCATGCTCCAGCGTACTGTACGCGAGCCGCCACGGATATCCCTGCACTCGTGCGGGCAAGCGCCGGGCAAGCTGGGCAATGAACAGGGAGAAACGGTTACATATTCAAGGGGTTGGGTCACAGGTGGTGTCCCACACCGTTCCCTTTCCGCAGGGGCTTCTGAGGCAAAAAATGGTTGTCACGGGAGCAGCTGACGCCAGCAGCTTAACATCACCATTTGCAGGTGGCCTCGTACTCTGAGCCCAGCTGTCTGTATTTAACATCAGAACTGGCATCCTCTCTCCGAGCTGTGAAAGAGCTGCCAGGCCTCAATATCACAACTCCAGAGTAGCAAAACATAAAAATAAGCTTCACAGGCGAGTCAGTGTTGCAGCAAACAGGACCTTGCACATGAACACTCCACCATACTAAGTACTTTCCAAACTCTATAAAAAACATTGGTATTGTCTCCAGAAGGCAAAATGGCCTACACTGAGCAGAGAGAGCACCACATATGACAAGAAAAGCTGATGTTTTTCCAGCCATACCTGCTCTATGTGCATGTTCTCCAGGAGAGCGCTGTGATGCTTTAAGACAGGCAAAGTATCATCGTCATCTTCTTCATAGTAACTATTGGCGTCGTTTTGCTTCTTCTACAGTAATGATCTGAAGCAAGAGAACAAGCATCCAACCTCAAGCAGAGCTCTTACACTGTCAGTCCTCTGCTGAAGCAAACTGATTTAAAACAACTGTTAACACTGTGTGAAGCAAAGCCTCTCTATGGGATGACTGTATCAAGCACAGGCAGCCTTAACTAAATGGGGAAAATCTTAACTTGCAAGGTGTCTTTGAAGCAGCACAGCCAGAATTTCTTCATGCCCTGGAGACCTCCCACAGGTGTAGAGTTCTTTGGGATTAATATACGTGCAGGTAACCAGGTGACATCATGTGGTTAGTCTCACACATACTTGGTCCCAAGTCAGAAAGGTAAAAATGCACCTACTTCTTCCAAGACACATTGCATGCATCTGAACTAGGTGTCTTGTGGGAGTCTAAATGAGGAGGACATAGAAGCTTCTTTGTTTTCTCTCATGCAGCTAGCTGCATACATTAATTATTTTCTCAGGTGCCAGTGCATGAGAATATGAAAAAATTTAAAATTCCACTTCTTTTCATTAAACTAGCAGCTTTCTCCTGGTGTTCTTTACCGACTCAGACAGATTTGTGTATAAAAACTGAAACAGGATGAATACAGTGAAGAAGTAAAAATGTAAATAAACTTGAATAGGTATTTCAAAGTTCTGTGTTACAGGAATGTACTAAAGAAGTTTTTAAGCATCCAGTTTACGTAAGGTCCTGAAAATACTCATTCTAAGAGTCAATGTGTTTATAAAATACATTTTGGGTCAAAAATGATCAATTAGCTCCTTGGAAACATCTATATATTCCTTTGCATAAGATTTTATAAAGAGAGGATATTACAATACTTTAAAAGAGGACTCCATATAAATATTTCTAATGCCAGGTTTGAATTTACTTACAAAACAAAGCACAGACTTCTCTCCAACAACTACAGGTAAGCCGAGCTACCTTTTCTCACAAAGCTCAAAAGAATATGACAATGCCAGTCCATACACTTAATGCTTGTTTATAAAACGACTCAGCAGCTTACAAGGTGGTGAGAGAGACAGGGGATAAACTCTGCAGCCCATGTGACATGGGCAGGAATCAGGAACCCAAACATGGCACGGTGCAGGAGTTCCTGTGCCTGGCAGCACCCACAATGCCCGGAGCTCACTGCAGAGGGGAATACACCATCTTGTCCATCAGCAGCTGCAGTGTGGGTGTCCCGGCTCCCGACAAACCACTGCTGGGGTGCTCAGCCCCCTCACTGGCCAAGAGCATCATTTGGCATGGATGGAAAGCTACTAACCCTTTTGTGCAGCTCAGGGCACTCAGCGAGCGCAAGAAGCCTTGGCTCCATGCTGCAGCAGGGGATGAGAAGAGGCCAGTGGTGCCCGGCGGTGTGGCTTTACCTGGGGCTTGGTGCCACCACAGCAAATAGGAAGGAACAGCAGGAGCTCAGAGGGGGCTGATAAGAAAGAAAAGGAGAAGCAAAGAGGCCTAACTAAATAACAAATGGAAAACCTTCAACTGCCTTCCTTCCACAAGTGTGTCACTACAGAGGTCTTATCTTGGAGCAGGAACCTCCAGATGTGGCTGCAGAGCACGCTGTGCTGCTGCCACGTGCCTCCTGGTAAATGTGGCTTCCAAACGGCTTTCATGTGCACACGGATAAAGTTTTGCAGAACTCCTCCGTGCCTTCACAATCGCTGCTTGAACTTGTAGAATCTGTCAACAGCGGAGACAATTGCCAAGAAGTGCCTGGAGGTCCCGTACACGCTTGCCCCACAGGCGAGAAAGCAAACATACTGGACTGACTCCAGGTGCAGATTTAACCTCACCACAAAGCATGGGAGCAGGTTTTTATGAAGACCAGGACTGGTGTGAAGATCACTGTGGGTAGGACAAAGCCCTAACACCATCAGTCACACCTCGCATTGCCAGTGGGATGCGAGCAGGACGCCTGCTGCACACCCTCACACCCTGCCCGTGGTCGCCTGGAGACACCTGGAACTGCCTGGAGCCTGGAAAGGGAGCTGAGCCCGGGGCAGCCACCCCAAGCAGGGCATGGGCACTCTGACACGCCACAAGCAGGGTCAGGAAAAAAGGGCAAGACCACAGGGCAAAATCCAGCCTGCAGACCTAACGTGGTTACATGCCCCTGCACACGCACCCAGGCAGGATGGGTACTCCTGCCGGCGATATTGAAGAGCCTTACAGCTGCATCCTGTCCCTCCAGCCCAGGCTCAGTGGGAACTAGTCCCGGGTCTTCCGAGATTGCATAGAATCCTGCTGGAAAAATTTCCATACTGGCTGATCTCAGAGAAGGTCTGCACCACAAAATTAAAATAAACTTAAAAAACCCCAACTGTACTGTTAAATGGTCTTCCTGTTTTTATCCTTGTTCTTTTTCCATCTCCTGAATGGTTTTCCTTCCCTCCTAATCTCTCAGGCCATTATTTTATTTTACTTTTTTTTAATCAACCCTTTTTTCATCTTAAAGAAGAAGTATCCAAATCCTCTTTTGAAGATTATTTTCTAGAAATAGTCTCCCTGTAAGGAAGAGGAGGGAAGAGTGTCACAGTAAATCAACCAGCAACAGGTATCTGTAGCAAAATGCAACCAAACTAACGGACACAGGCAATCACAGAACACCTACTAACCCAGCTGTAAACTGCAAATTGTCTCTACAGATAGACAAGCCTCCCTCTTCCTTGTATAGATACCTACTCAGTCTGTAACTGAAGCACACATTTGAATGAAGATCAGAGTCAACAACTACAAATAAAGGGATCTGCAAGATCAGATATTTACATGCCATGTAGAAGCAGACAGACGAAAAGGATCAGTCACTACAGAAACTGGATTTACAAGACCTTTTGAAGATTTTATGAGAGTGAGAAAGCCAGCTACCTGGGGTGAAAATACCCTGTTAAAATTTGTCTGAGTGCGAAGCACATCTTTTACTGGGACAGAAGTCCTGTATTAGATCCGCGCTGTTCAAACAGGGACACAGTTCAACGTACCTCCACAAAAGGTTCCTCCTGATCAGGTCTGGCATAGTAAAGAATTCGAATATTCAAAGGCATTTGTTTCCTTCTGATCATCTACTACTTTATTTCACAGTATCCACTATGCTTCTCTGCTCCAAGAGCTCTTGCCCATGAGCATGACAGACGGTGACTGCTTGTGGCATACGGTGATAAAATTGCTTACATGCTTCTCCACAACTACACTTTCTGTTTCCCCGCAAGGAAGAGTGAAACTTTCACAGTACTCATGCCCAAATTTGGACTTTCAAAGCAGACTTCCTGGCAGACCTACTTGAAATTTGTAAAGCCTGAATATATTACAAATAAATGAGACACACCTCCAGAAGCAGCTTCCAGCTAATTCTTCTCCCAATACTTATTTAAATAAAACAATGAGAGACAGGCTCTCATTCTGTCCGGATGTCTCCCACCTCTGTTTTCCAGTCACTGGCCCTCCTCCTTTCATTTTGGTTTTACAAGAATGGCATGCAAATAAAAACTGAAGAGTAAAATCTAGCGCAATATATGACTGCACTCAGCTCTGAGCGAAACAAGGAATCAAGACTTTTTTTTTCCTTCATCTTACAGTTCACAAGGCACTAACATTAAAAAACTACAAAACTGTACAAATAAAAGCTTTTTGAGTTTAGAGACGATATTGTTAAAATTCAAATGACAAGGCCCACTTCCTTCTTTTGAACAGGAAAACATACTTTCAAGACAGAAATGCTAGGGGAAAATAAATTTTAAAAGGGGCAGTAGAATTGTAAAACCAAGTTTATATAATCAGATCACTTTTTAAATCACCATCAAGATATTTTCCACTCAGGGATTTATCTGTTTTTTAATTTATCCCATGTCCTTAGCACAGCAAGCGCTTCAGTGTTCAGAGGTATCATTAAAAAATGTGTGTGAGCTTATTTCCCTTAGAAACTGGGCTTTGTATGCACAAGAGACAGACAGATAACAAACACAGGCATGTGAGCTAGTTAAAACAGATTGCAAAAGCCCCCTATGAAGAAGCCAAAGTCCGAGGATAAAACTTATCCATCTTACAACCAACGTTCAAACAGTATTGCCGCATGCACCTGAGAAGCAAAGGTCTGGCACATCACCACACACAAATTCATTTCAACCAGCACACAGGAGTCTGTATTAGTGTTTATGTGTCCATATATATATTGGAGATTTTATTTATAGCCTATAAATACAATATAAATTTAGCAACACTGACAAGGTACACCTGTATAGTTTTGCAAAGGGCTAATGTCACATAACCAAAATATTTACATAACTTTTGCTGAGTGCACATGCAAAAGCTCTCACTCGTTTGCCTGCTTTTTCTAGGTAGAGAAGAAAGGAGGACTGACAGAATACGAGCACGTTTGTGAGTCGGATACAAGCCTTGAGAAGGCTTTTGTATGAAGCAGCAAGCATTATAAAGAAACACCATAAAAATCATCAAAAGAACAAGTGCTGAGACCCTTAACAGAGGATGAACACTTGACATGCACATGCTTCATGTAAAGGCAGAAAGCACTCACCTCCCAGCTTTTAGTAGTGGGCTCACTGAAGAAGTTGTCTATCATATCAAGCTCCTCCTTTTCTACCACGACAAAACCTTGCTCTTTGGCATCTTTCCCGTATATTTCTGGTGACCACTGAACAAAAAACGTGTACAAGTGATCCACCCTGTAAACAGAAAAGGAGACAACCCCTGCTGAGTGGTCCATGAGCATAGCACCGTCACGTAGCACAGAGGTTCTGCCCCATGACAAAGAAGGGGCAACCACACAAGCAGGACACCCAGGTATTTCCACCTTCACGCACCGCACAAGGCAATAGCTCCCTCCACCTAGCAGCCTGAAGCACTTCAAGGTTTCTCTGCATTCACTCCCCACAATGTATTTCTCTCCTCCCTTTCCTATACATATAGCCAAAGTATCATAGTAAAACTAAGCTGCTTGTCCAGTCCCACGCAATTCATATTAAGAAGTCAAAGTCATTAGTATTAGGTTATACTCACAAAACTTAAGACCACAAAAAACTCACTGTACTTACTTATTTTGACTTCCTGCATAAAACAAAACAAAAGAGATCACCAGTAAAGCCCACACCACATTTCAGGCTGTTCTCTAAAAGCCATAGCAACTAATCACAAAGCAATTCTTCATTCTGTTAGCATAATGAAAATAAGCAGTTACTGACAGCTTTGCTAATTACATAGTACCAGCAGTGTATGCACTTCCATAAATGTAGTCAGCTCTCAACCACTATCTTTAAAGAGATGTTCTCTGACAACATCCACAACAAACTGAACTGATTTCTGAAGAAGGAATTTATGTAGTATTTTAAAATTAAAATGAACACACGCAGTTTCAAAGACGAATATAACAGCAGATCCACTATACAAGAAGTTGAATTGCTAGCAAAAACAATACCAAGCCCTAATTAAAGAGGGCAGGCAGAAAGGTAGTTCGTACCTATGACACTGGACTTTTTCCAGTTTTTCACCAGAAAGTTTTGTCCTGCAATTCCTTGATCAATACAAATCAAGAAAAATCTTGGAGAAATACAAACTTTCCCCCCCTATATTTCAAGATATTTGGATTTTTATATATATGCACAGAAGTTCTTAAAGTACCATTTTAGCACTGTTGGATTCTGTTCGGGGTCACTAGTATAATTCCAGAAATTTTTCCAGCTAAGTCTGTGGTTTTTGTTCTACGCTCCTACCAGTGAGGGCTAGAGTCTGACGTCAGTTCTGATTGCATAAACTGACAGCCCTGAAATTGTTGCCCACTTATCACAGCTACATTAATTCACAGCTGAAGTGAGGTATTTGGAGGGGCTTGACTCACTTTGGCCTCAAGATATTTGGATCCAATTTCCACTACCCTCAACAAGAATAAAGGATCAATTTGGCTTCATCACAGAAATGTCCTCTTAATCATGAAAAAGGAACAGCTAAGCATTGTCATCAGTTTCTTCTCTTGTTTGCACATTCACAAATGCTGCTGTGGTGCATGGCTAGCATGTTCTAGCAGACTTTAAATTTTTGTTATCAAAGAAGAACTATACCTATGAAACATTTTTAAAACATACAACCAAATATGGTTTTAGTGCAAATGTCCTCAATTTCTGAACACCCAGCACTAGTTGCTGAAGCATCAGCAGCCTCCCTTCGTCATGAACAAATAAGGGAGCTAATACTGTTATCAAAGTAAATATTACAGCTGTGGCTTGCTCCTCTGCAGCAACACACACACAAGAGATTGAGGTAGTTCTGTGCTGTCAGTCTTTGCGATAGTTCTCACCAATAATTGCATGGTAAAGACTAAAAGAGGGTCATGCTCCTATTGCCAAGGTTTCCTCCCTTCTTTGTGAGAAGCCACATGATTGCTTGCAAGTTTGCATAGATCTAAAACCAGTGAGCTATGGAAGGCACTTTTAAAAGCTGTATCATTTCTTTTTAGTCAGGACCTCTTCTAACTGCAGAAGTTCTCCCACACTTACAGGTGCCCCGCTCCACTTGCTCACAAAGGCTTCAGACAGAGCAGTATGGTCATCTCTTTGCTAACTCATGTGAGTTTTAACTGGAAGAGACATCTGAGCACTGCGTATTTTACTTGTACTAGTTCTAGTCTGGAAAGCTAACTGCTTAATTCTTACAAATCCCTACAAAAGAGCAATAAAACTAGTAGTTGCTGCCATCTGGCTAAGATCAGTTTGAAAGCATGTTCGTGCAGGTGTGTGGAAGAGAGCAGCATATTCTCATCTCAGAATTGCAGAATACTTTCAGGTTGTGTGCCACTGCCGGAGATCACCTAGGCCCACCTCTGTTTACTCTTCTGCTAACATCCAAGTTAAAGGTTGCACAGTCTTATAGCTATAAATTATAGAATGATTTGGGTTGGAAGGGACCTCAAGGATCATATAGTTCCAACTCTCCTGCCACGGCAGGGACACCTCCCACGGGATCAGGTTGCTCAAGGCTCCATCCAGCCTGGCCTTGAACACTTCCAGGGAGGGAGCATCCACAACCTCCCTGGGCAACCTCTGCCAGTGCCTCATCACCCTCAGGGTAAAGAACTTGTCCATTTGCAGTTCCAGAAACCTAGAACAGAGAATCCACAACCTCTCCAAGTAACTTGTTCCACACATAACCAGACTTATGTTTCTTTTCTGTCTAATCACCCATTTGCTCTGATGCATGCAGCATATGATCTCAGAAGGGTGTGGCACCATCCTACTTTTTGCCATTCTATTTTTTTTTCCTTTTCTCCTCCCCCTTTTCAACCATGTGTCCAAAAGCAATAGGGGGGTAACCATCACCCAAAGCTGTGAAGCCTTCCCTACTGCCAAGACACACAGATGACTTACCCTGACTTTGCTCCCAACTTCCCCATCTCCTTTTCTGCAGAGTTCCTTCCCAGGTCACCCGTGCCCAGATCGTACCACTCCAGCGACTGCTTCACGCCAGGTGCACAACTTTACATTTGCCTTTTCTGAACTTCCTGACGTTTCTGTTGGCCCATTCCTCTGTGTTGAGGTCCCTCTGAGCAGTAGCCCTGCCCTACACTGTATGAGCATCCCTCAGATTTGGCATCATACTCCAAAACGACAAAGGTGTATCCCTCTCCAATGTCCATGTCATTGATAAAGGCACTAAGCAGTATCAATCCTCAAGGAATATCACTTGCACCTGATAGCCATTCAGACTAGCTACCAACCCTTTGAGCCCAATGGTCCAGTCAATTTTTTACCAGTCTGGCAGCCTACCTGTCCAGGTCACATCCCTCTGGTTTGGCTATAAGGGTACTATGGGAGATTATGTTGAAAGCTTTACTAAGTCATGGCAAAACGTCAAGCCCTTGCTCTCTCCTTGTTCACAGAGCAAACTGTCTCAAAGAGAAAAGTTATCTGGTTGGTAGAGAAGCAATTTGCCCTTGGTAAATCTACAATAGTGTTCCTGACCACTTCTTGCCCTCCATATGTGCTTGGAAATGCTGTCCATAAGGACGAGCTTCCCAGGAACTGAAGGGGAAGGTAACTGCCCCCTGCTTCTGTAGATCCTCCTCAACTTTTCTGAAGATGGTGTGTCACGAGTTAGGGCTGGACAGACGCTCTCTAACTTCACCCTCCAAATGGGAAGGAAAAGGGAATGA